TTTTTTTTTTTTTTTTTACAGGTAACAGTAACGGCAGAAAATAGTGGTACAAATAAGGGGGACATTGGTTTCGTACCGGTAACTGTCACACATACACTTCAAAAAACTGGTGGCCTATGTGAACGCGAAAGTCGATCAAACAGACAACTTCATCATCGGTAATATTAGAATCGCTGTCTGTGCTTGTGTTTAAACGTGCAAATTGTAACCAAATACTTTATATATATGTATATTAAAATTATGATTGCTTTATACCATTTTCTACTTTATTTTTTTTCTTTTGTATAACAAAACTTGTAGTTTACGCATTAGGTTTCAAAATTTACGTTGATTACTGTATTTTTTGATAATTGCAACTGTAATGATAATGATAGAGTGTTATAAGAATATTGAAGGATAATTAAGTTTTCTGTATACCGACAAGAATCAAATGTGTTGAGTTTGGAAGGTGAAAAAAAAGTAAAGTATTCATCAAATTATTAAAGTTTATTTAACACGCATTATTTTATAAATTGTTTCAATTTTTACCCGTCGAAAACAACAAATTGTGAACGTTTTGAACTGTTTTTTTCCTTTTTTTTTTTATTTTTTATTTGTCTGAAATAAAAAATTTTTAAAATCTTCTGGAATGATATTCAATGCTGATGCTGCCTAATTACATGTACACATGCGAAAAATCCAGACTTTTGACTGAGCGATGATAACGGTAACAGCGACCGGTGGTCATTTGAAGACATTTGTATACAAAAGCGATAAAAAGTTGTAGATGATTTATCTAGCTTAGCAAGAGCTTTTTGTTTGATCAAGGAATAGATAGCGCAAAAATGCCATAAATTGTATCAGTTAAACCTCTATCGTGTATGTTTAGCTGGATAACTGTTGAAGAATTCTGATTTAAGTGTGAATAAAAGTGGCTGAAAAACTAAAATTAACAATTTACAAAACTTCTTGATCACATTAAACCAGTAATGAGCATCATATTTTTTCTTAGACTGATCCACCAAAACCTAAGAATAATGCGAAAAGTTAAAAGCGTAGAAACAGAAAAAAAAGTAGACAACAACTGATTTTTAACTTAACAGAAGTTTGGCAGTAAAAATATGTGGTTTACAGCCGTGGTCATGTTACTTTAGCAGACAGTAGTGGCTTGCATTTTGTTATCACTTTACACGATTGGAATAGAACAGGTAAAAAGTTACTGAATATTTTAGTTGTTAAAACAATGTAGAGCAAATTTTTCGTATGTCACAATATTTGCAGAACGATGAAAGGAAAATGAGAAAAAAACCCTTAGAAAGCGGAGTTAATTTGAATTATTGGCAAGGGTAAGGAAGTGGAAAAAAACCCTCAGCCTTTTGGCCTTTTTAAGGGCCATTAACAGTGCAATTAGTTGTGAAGAGCGTTGTCCCCGTCAAGAGCTGTTGGCAATCATTTGTATTCTCCGGCCACTCAGTATCGGTATCAGTGGACGCAAAAGCAGCAGAAGGCAAGCTGAACTGAAAGTTGGTGCTAGATTATGATGGTGACTACGGCGACAGCAAAAATTATTCTTTTCGTTTTGACGTTATAGTGGGGGTAAATCAGTCTACTGAAAAAACACAAAGGAAAAAAGTGGATCATTTGAATATTGTTGTGGAGCTAAAATTTTACTGTAATATTTGTGTTGTTGTCGCTTCCCTACTTACTCAGTGATTATTTTTAGACGTGGGTATCCAATTTTCCAATCTTTTTTT